GAAAGGTAGAGTCTGCTTTACTAAAGGAGTTGGGAATCTTCATTCATATTGTGTGAATAATCACTTCAATTATCCAGTCATGTGAAATGTAAACTTATGTTTACTTATTTCATCTGCACATGATTGGGTGTTCAAAGTGAACAGGAATTTGCTTTTTTTTTTCCCCTCCAAAAGGAATGTGCTTTTCACATGACTGGATAATTGAAGTGAATATTCACACAATTTAATGTAGAGTCAACTTCTTTAGTAAATTATCTTCTATGTCTCACCAATTGCTATATGTGACAACTCCATTTATATGTGACAACTTCACGTATATGTCATTTTTCATAAATTAATCCAAATAAGGCAGATTTACCAAGAAGAGGAGCAAAAGGACAACAAAAATGTAGAATAGTTTGCCATGTCAACCAGATTTCTTAATTTTCCAGTAACTGAAAGCAAAAGCTCCCAACCTTGCACAATTCTTGATAAATCTGCCCCGCCAAGTCTAAATCAGATGCACTTTTCAGCATAAAATGAGCCAGCTATGTACTAATAGCCTTGACCTGTCACACTGTATTTAAGGACCATGAGTACAGCACCAATATTTAGGAGTATAGGTCCCTCATATGTACATTGAACCTCTTACTTCAGACATCAATAGAGAAAGAGTAATCCTTTTTTCACAGCCATGGATCCTATTGTGTGAATAAGCATACACGCTAGCAGATTAAGAATTCATGAACACAGCTCTCCTGCAGTAATATCAATGCAAAGTGCTGGGGCTGAGTGCAAGCACATTTAAAATGCTGTCACCGGATGGATCTAGTTGCATTCCTTTCAGAGAAATCTGGCACCAGGGGTTGAACAGCCTGTGATCTGTGCAATAGGTGAAGTTACAAATGCTCAGACCAGTTTATCCTTTAACTACTTGTTTACACCAGCGGTTGAAGAGTGAGGAGAGGTGGTAAAATCACGTGGTTGAGCCATGTTTTACTTCCACTCAACTGCTTTTACCCTTGTCTGAAAAGGTAGTAGCCAGGGGTGTACACATGCAGCGGCAGCAATTATACCCACTGTCCAATTCGGCAGGCACTACCGACCACTGAATGCAATTAATTTGCGTGAACAGGACCCATGATACAAATGCACGCAGCTGAAGTGCTTTAGTGTGGCATTTAGGGGGTTAAAATAGGTGGTGAGGAAGTGACAATGCCCTCACCACCACCTGTCAAACACCTCTGAAATGCATTGATCGCTTTTCAGAAAAAATCAACAGTCCGTATTGCTAGTGTAAACAAGCCTTAAAACATAAGACCAGTCTTGTGCTGTAGAAGGTAAACGGCGGTAGGAATGGGGATAGTTTTGTATTCAAGCCCATCTAAGGCTGGTCATACATGAAGGATTTCTCTCACTCAGCCCAGCAGGCTGAACAAAAGGATTCACTTGACTCCTCCATCCACATTAAACTGCATGGATAGACAAATCTGCAGTGCCAGCTACTGTGTTCTGACAGCCAGCACCTGTGGCTGTCAAAATACCCCATCAGTGGTTGCACCTGGTTGGATGCAGCCACTGTTAGGCCAACAACCATATTCTGCCTGACTCCTTTAATTTTCAGATCAAAGGATGTAAGGCAGGAGCATGACAAGAGGACCACCCATGGCTCAAATTTTGGCTACTTCATTGGGAACCAGCCAAGATTCACACTGCATATGGCCAGCTTTACTACCCCAAAAATTTAAACAAAATAGCAAACGTTATGAACGCAGTTGAAAAAAAAAAAAAAAAAAAAAAAAATAGGGCATTTGTCCTACAGACTGCAGTGTTCTGGCATAAAACAATTTGCAATCCTTAACCTGCCATAGGCTGTGTCTAAATACCTATTTATACATACTCCTTTACTGACATATTGTGGCTGATTTACTAAAACTGGAGAGTGTAAAATCTGGTGCATCTCTGTGCAGTAACCAATCAGCTTCCAGATTTTGATATCAAAGCTTAATTGAAAAAAAAGCTGAAAGTTAGAAGCCGATTGGCTACCATGCAGCGCTGCACCAGATTTACAAAATCAACCCTACTGTGAATATTTCTGTAGTTCACCACTGAATGGAGCTTTTAGTATTCTACTGATTATCCAGACACCGCATAATTAAACCAGCACAACAGAAAGACCAGAAGCAGGTCTTTCTGGATGCCAGGTAGTGTAATGAACCCAAAACCCCATCAATGTAGGAATTCCATAAATCATTCCATCATAAAATTCTAACAAAAGAAACAAAAAAAAAAAAAAGAGCCAGAAAAGCTTCAAATTAAATACTAAATTATCCTAGTTGGCTGCAACGCACAAAAATATGCATCGAGTTTCACATTAGCTTGTAGAATAGAGAATTGGGTTTCCTGGGCTGTGCAACTGAACTAGCAAGGGTTGACCTTCAGTGAGTAAAGCCGGCAAGCTGTGCCAAGCAAAACAATAATACCACAAACACAAGTCGGTCTCCTCCTGCAAAGTGTAAACAAGAAGCCGAGAACAATTACGTAATACCAAATAAGGAAAAAAACAACATCAGGTGCTCATTTACATGCCCCTACCCAGAAATCCTTTGGGATCATACAACACAATTGTGTAGTGCTGCATGTAGTCTGTGCGTACTATGCAAAATGAAATGCAATTATCAGCAACAAATTGGTTTCTTTTTCAATATCACAAAAAAATAAAAAAAAGGATTAGAAAACAGTGCATGCCCATTGTTCAAACTGGAGGCCCTAGAAGGTTCGAGCTGAGTGAACCTCTTCAAGTATAAAATTTAAAAAAACAAAAAAAAGGGAGGAAGATGTGAACTAAACTGGTGCAAAGTCCATGGCATGCCACTGGTTCGATGAAGAATTGCACATAATCTAGTCTTTGTTGTCGTAGATTTCCCATGATTATTTGTCCCTGAGGTTTCACAGCCTTGTCGCCTGACACCTCCAAAAGCTGGATAAGAGTGAATGGACAATACGCACCATTGGGGTAGGGTGGTCCAAAACACATATTAGATAGAAAACATTTGTTTGTGGCTGGCAATAAAAGTGAAAACAGATCACTGGCTTTAAATGATCATCCATTTTGTGAGGTTGATGGCTGCCAAAAACAAAACATGATCCTCCTGGCTCAAAATCATTAGTGTCTGTATGTGGAGTTATTTTGGTTGAAGATACATGACAAAGTCTCTTTAATAAGTAGTCACCATACAAGGCTCCTCTCTGCAGTCATCAGAACCAAGTGCATGTCTGGACGTGGCCACTCAATGAATGATCATTGGCATTGAGTAACAAAAGAGAGGATGGGAAGGTCAGTTCACAATATGAATGCTGACAGCAGAGGTGTCACTTCCACCAGATTCATCCACCATGTAGATCATGTATCAGCTGCTCTGTAAAGAACACACAGGAACGGCTTGTAATGCTCATACGCTTTACCAACACACCATTATTGCTTGGACTACTGAGAGCTGCATGTGGGATGTAAACTGAAGACTGTTCGTGTCACCTTCTTTTTGTTTTCATTAGTGATGGCATAGGTGTCACTTAGCAGTGGTCTGATGGTGACAGTCAGTCCAGGAAAGGGCTCTGTTGATGCAGATTGTATGGTGGTCCCATCCATTGCAGTGACAGCACACAATTGCAGGGGCTTGGAGGAGGGGACTCCTCTGGTGCAGGCGGTCATATCACAGCAGAGCTCAAAAGCTACAACTGCTCTGGGATCACTTGATACAGCAGATCACTGCACTGGGATCCACTGAGATCAACTGCAATGGTGGAACACAGTGGTAACTGATCATGGTTGTCAATGTACATATCTGCTGGAGGCTGCCAGTGGATCATTGTACAGCGGTCTCTGTACAGTCATTGTCTGGTGCAGTCCTCTAATCGTATGGCGGTCTCTGTGCGGTCATTCATTGGTAGAATTCTCCAATCGTTGTACAGCGGTCTCACTGTGGTCATTTTCTGGTGGAGTTCTCTGATCATTGTATGGCAGTCTCTGTGCAGTCATTCATGTCCTCTGTGCACAGGGGTCTCGGTGCGGTCATTGGGAGTCCTCCAATCATTCCACGGGGGTCTCGGTGCGGTCATTGGTGGAGTCCTCCAATCATTCCACGGGGGTCTCGGTGCGGTCATTGGTGGAGTCCTCCAATCATTCCACGGGGGTCTCGGTGCGGTCATTGGTGGAGTCCTCCAATCATTCCACGGGGGTCTCGGTGCGGTCATTGGTGGAGTCCTCCAATCATTCCACGGGGATCATCGGTGCGGTCATTGGAGTCCTCCAATCATTCCACGGGGGTCTCGGTGCGGTCATTGGTGGAGTCCTCCAATCATTCCACGGGGGTCTCGGTGTGGTCATTGGTGGAGTCCTCCAATCACTGCACGGGGTCTCGATGTGGTCATTGGTGGAGTCGTCCAATCACTGCATGGGATCTCGGTGCGGTCATTGGTGGAGACCTTCAATCATTACACTGGGATCTCGGTGCGGTCATTGGTGGAGACCTTCAATCATTACACTGGGGTCTCGGTGCGGTCATTGGTGGAGTCCTCGAATCACTGCACGGCGGTCTCGGTGCGGTCATTGGTGGAGTCGTCCAATCACTGCACGGGGGTATCGGTGCGGTCATTGGTGGAGACCTTAAATCATTGCACGGCGGTCTCTCGGTAGAGTCCTCCAATCATTCCACGGCAGTCTAGGTGCGGTCATTGGTCGAATCCTCCAATCATTGCACGGCAGTCTCGGTGCGGTCATTGGTCAAATCCTCCAATCATTGCACGGCGGTCTCGGTGCGGTCATTGGTAGAGTCCTCCAATCATTGCACGGCGGTCTTGGTGCGGTCATTGGTAGAGTCCTCCAATCATTGCACGGCGGTCTCGGTTGCGGTCATGGGAGAGTCCTCCAATCATTGCACGGCGGTCTTGGTGCGGTCATTGGTAGAGTCCTCCAATCATTGCATGGCGGTCTCGGTGCGGTCATTGGTAGAATCCTCCAATCATTGCACGGTGGTCTCGCTGGGCTCAGCCACACTGCAGCCCCCCGCCGTGACATCGGCCTCCCCGGTCAGGTGTAACCTTCGGACGGCCTCTTTGATGAGGTTCCCGGACAGTAGGAGCTCCTGTAGCAGCTGGTGGGGGTCCTCATCATCGTCCTCCTGTCTCCTCCTCACCCAGCCCCGGCCACACAGCTGCTTGCTGCCCCCCGGACAGTGCCTGGCCCCGGCCGGCTGGTGGTGATGACATCGTCCAGCCGCTCTGGGGGTGCACACCGGGTACGGCGTAGTCCTTCCCCTCACACAGGAGCACATGGAGGGGGGGCCGGGGGAGGGCGGCGGGTTTCAGGCTGCAGGAGCTCGGAGCTCTGTGGGCGTTCAGTTGGAGGGCTTCCCCGATCCGAGCCACCAGCGAGTCCACCTCCTGGGAGCCTACCGTCACCGACTCTGCTCCAGCAGCAGGAAACTCTCCTTGCGGCACGGCATGCTGACACCGAGCAGAGCCAGCACCGTGTGACTCACCACCGCCCGGCGTACACCGGCCCGGCCGCTGCTGCTGCTGGGTTTGTAAACAATGGGTGACGTAGGGACTGCTCCGACCGTACCACTCTGATATCGCGGGGGGAGGGTTTCCCGACACACCGCTAATTCCGCTCCCCCTCTGGTCTAATACACTTCTCATGTAGAATAAAATCAATATTCTTTATAAATCTGTATAAATGTTCGATGCCTCAGGTTCTAGACGATGGAACGGCTAATAGGAGCGGACCGTACCATTCCCTGTTCCCCCCCTTTGTCTTTCTCAGGCTTTGTCACCGCCCATTCTGTTTTTTGAAGTCTCGTACGTTGGTGACGTCACCTTGTTTTGGTGTGTCTGTCAGTCAGCATGAACCTGGAGAGGGGGCGGGGCTGGGATCGGAGACACAAAGCGCAGCGCACGGGGAGAGGCGGGGCCGTGTGTGACCTGCCTGTAACCTGGGGACACGGTCTGTAGACAGCACTGAGGGCGGGGGGGGGGGTTGTGTTCACATGTGGGGACCGAGGAGACAGGAAGGCTCTCCTCCACACTCAGGGATTGTACAGCTGCCCATACACATAGAGATTTCCCTTCCTCTATCTGCTGGAAATCTAACCTATACCTGCAGCATAACGTGTGTTACAACGCGCCCCATTCACTTGGACGGGTCACACTTAGCAGAGGTACTGCCTGACAAATGGGACCTGTGCTGTCATTTTGGCTGAATCCAACCGTGCTAGGGTGTACTTACAGCTGGGTGGTCAAAAAACACCCATCCTCCTTCCCGCCACCTTTGTAAACAAGGCCCAATGATGGACAGAAGTATGCGCCCCCACCCTTCACATCCCCCTAAGCTCAGGCAACACGTATTTTCCACATGTGCACACTTCACGTCAATAAACAGTCCTTGAGCTTGGTTTTCTGGGGTTACAAACTTGTCTGGGACCTAGGAGTACATGGGATGCCCGAGGAACTGTAGGACTTGAGGACAAACTCCATAGCAACTATGTACAAACATGCAGATAGCAACAGTCCCTTCTTTCAGGCATTACAGGCTGTGTTGGTGTTCCTCCTCAGACCCCGGATGAATCCTCCTCTCCAACCAGTTGTAATGAGGGGATCCCTGAGCAAGGGGGTCCCAGGAGCAGTCCCAGATGAAGATTGGTTGGGTCTTGCACCTGACTGGCCTCTCACTTTATTCGGCCCAGGAGTGTAGGAGTACTCATACTGATCTGTTAGCTTGATGGGTTGGTAGCTGCTTTCAGGCTTTCCGCTAGGCTGGCTCCTTCCTTCCCTGCTTTTCAGGATGTCCTCTCTAGGTGACTTTGGGCAGTGATGATCCTCCTGTCCAGCAACCAGCCTGTAGGTAGGCTCCCCTCCCTGTGGGCCCCAGGCTCATCACTCCAGACTTCGTCTCAGTCTATCTTCCATCAACTCTCCTTGCTCCCTAGGCTCTGTGATATTTGAGGGTTGCCCTGGTCACCATGGCCTTTCTATTTCTATTCTATTCCTTTATTTTATTCTAGTCTGTTCCCCCTTTTTTTTTTTTTTTTTTTTTTTTTTTTTTTTTTTTTCTTTTTTTTTTTAAAAAAA